GAAGGGTTCTGTAGCCCAAAATTTGTTTAAGTAGAAGCACTTCATTGAGGGAGGAGCCAATTTTTTGGTAATCGTAATGGAGATCAAAGACACTTTAGCACCAAAGAGGTCACATAAGTCTCTACAGCGTCATTGGAATATTACAAGGATGCCTTTGATGAGCCCTAAGGTCTACCCCACCCAAGACTTTTGATCATCTAATTTCCTTGGCTCAAAAGGAGTCTCCGTGAATGTACGTCTCTACCGATACTCCTATTATTAGAAGAATGAGATAGAGAGACAGATCCCAAAAATGCTAGAAGACCATAGTTTGCCCCATCTACAGTTCCTTCTCATCCCCTGTTCAGTTGGTTAAAAAGAAAGATGGATCCTAACAGTTATGTGTAAACTACAGGAAGCTCAATTCCCTCACAATAAATGATAAGTTTCTTACACCCATTGATCTGTTGGATGAACTCCATGGACTTTAGCGTTCTTTAACATTGATCTTAGAGTGGACTACCACCAAGGCCAAGGAAGGGAAGAAGGCATCTGTAAAACAGCATTTAGAACATACCAAAGGCACTATGAATTCAGAGTGATGCCTTTCAGCCTCCCCAATGCACTTACCACCTTCCAGGCTCTCATTAACCATGTCTTCAAAAATTTTCTCTTTAAATTTGTATTAATTTTCTCTGATAATATTTTGGTTTATAGCTTAAAGAATAGGAACACTTCAAGAAGTTGGAAGAAGTGTTGAAATTATTGAGGGTACACAAATTATACGTCAAGCAGTCCAAGTCTTGTTTCCTACAACCAGAGGTGTAATATCTAGGTCATATTATTTCCCAATAGGAAGTTAAAACAAATCCATGGAAGATTGAAGCAATGGTAAATTGGCCACCACCAAGAACTTTGAAAGCACTCTGAGTTTTCTGGACTTGATAGGATACTACTGAAAATTATAGCATTATGGAATCATTGTCAAGCCCCTCAATGATTTACTTAAAAAATTAGCTTTTCAGTGTAACTCAGATGCCAGCAAGGCCTTCCAACAACTCACAACTGTCATAATATCCAGTTCTGTGCTATACCTCCCTAAGTCTAGAGACTCTTTTTACCATGGAAACAAACGCCAGTGACAAGTGGGGCCATTTTGATGCAAGAAGGAAGATCCGTAGTTTTCATTAGTAAGGCATTAAGTCCCCGGAATCATCCTAAGTCTGCGTACGAGAAAGAACTATTGGCATTATTGTATGCAATCAACCAATGACGGCATTATTTGGAGGGTACCCGATTTGTTACTAAACAGACCAAAGAAGCCTTAGGTATCTTTTAAATTAATAGGTGTTGCCCATAGTTCAATAGAAAGGAATCTTACTATCCAATATAAGTAAGGATCGGCTAATTCAACAGCAAATACCCTTTCTAGAAAAGAATCGGGGTTGACAGAAGCAGAGGTCTTGTCCACCGTAACCACTTCAACTCTAGCATGGCTCTCTAAAATATTAAACAACTACATCAATGATTCCTTGGTCCAGCCATTACTTGAAGAGCTCCTGGTGTTCCCCAATAGCGACCTCTATTTCATTAAAAAATTGAATGATCCGTAACAAGAGTAGGTTGGTGGTTGGAGATAACGCAGAGCTGCGAACCAAATTGATGTGATCCTAGATAATCCAAGTTTAGTTCCAAATTTAAATTTCCTAATTCAAACCTCTCTTTCCGCTATCTCTTCTCCTCTCTACTCTTCTTCTCTCTTCTCTTCTTCTCTCTTTCTCTATACTTGTTACAGTCAAAAACCAATAAGCAAGGTTCCTGACATAGGTAAACTAATCAAACTGGATAAGCAACACTTCCTTTGTATTAGTTGATCTATATCCAATAGTTTCAAAGCAATCTTCAATCTTAAGCTAAATGTACCTAGTTATTCAAACGTGATATTTCTTAAATGCTACATAAAGTAACTTTAAAACTAGCATAGATAAACAAATCAAATTGGATATGCAACAATTCTCAAGTAATAGTTGATAAATATCCAATAGTTTCAAACCAATCTAAAATATTAAATTAAATTTACTAATTTCTGGAGATATGAGATATTCCTAAATGCTCTTTACCACCCACTTCCCCAATGTAAGAAAATGTAATTGTAGCATGGAATAAACTCTTTCAGTTTTTAACTTATAGAACTACATAACAATGATCTGAAACCACACTAAGACCCTATTCATGGAATTCAATCATTCTTCACGTGAAAATAATTGAGACTGTGGTAATTAAACCCTTCTGCCGTGCATCCCTTGCATTTTTTCCCTCTCTGGTAAACATAATGAACTTACTGTGTTTCCTTAGGTTTCACATCAAAGGTATCATAATTTACAAATTGTTAGAGATAGACATGCAGTAAGAAGGATGCAGCAGAGAGAAGTTTTGTTTTAGGGAGGGTTGGCAGTGGGGGAGAGAACCTATTAGTAGTATCAAGAGTATAGTATGTGTTGTAAAAGAAACCAATAGCAATTTATTCTAACACATTGAAATACATTAAGGGGATGGAAATACCTTGTTCATCATTAAGCATCAGGTTCCCAGAAAGCAAGTCATTATGAGAAAACACTATGGGAGAATTAAGTAGGCCTGTCAATTCCTGTTCCATTAACAAGAGGCAGCTGTTGGTGATGTGAATAAAGATCCTGAACTTAAACCTACTTAACGCATAATCAACACAAAAGGACCAGAATGACAAACGTTAAAACAAGAGCTTCAAATTCAACAATGACCACACCATGGGAGCATCAAGAAGGCTTGCTGATTTTCAATTAACGGGAGAAATAATTTTGCTAAATAGCAATAAAAATTTTGTTCTCAACTCTGATTGACAAGAGAAATCAGCACATAACAACACAACTACAAACTTTCAAACAAGAGCTTTACCAATAAAAGTTCCTGTCAATTCAACAACTACAAACATTGAAACAAGAGCGTTACCAATAAAGGAGGCCTGTAAATTCATGTTCTACTAACAGGAGCTGCTTTTTGATAAATGGGAATACAGGTTTTGACCTTAAACCTACTCGACCCAAAATTAATATATAATGACCTCAAGCACAAACTACAAACAGAGCTTCAACAATAAAATCCATGATAACTCAGCAATAAAACCCACTCTATGGGATCATTAAGAAGGCCTGTCAGTTCCTGTTTCACTAACAGTGAACATCTTGACATTAAATCTACTTGACACAAAATCAATATACAATGACTAAAACAACAAACTTTGAAGCAAGGGCTTCAAAAATAAGATTCCAGTCAATTCAACCAGAACAACAGCCTTACAGGAGCACTAAAAAGGCATGTCAATTCTCATTCCATTAATAAGAGACATCTTTATAAATAGGAAAAAAGATCTGGACCTCAAAACTACTTGAAACAAAAGAACATATACAATATAGCATTAAGGAAGGATCTGCATGAACTCTTCTTATCAGACTCCTTGTGAAGATGAACAAAAACTACTTCCTATCAGTCTATCATATTTTGCCTTTTGTTTTCTCATCTTATTGGTACCAGAAATGATGTTAGGAAGAAACTTGAGGTAGAACGCCCTGGTTGGTTGTGAAAGAAAAAAAGATATCACATGCATGCTAATGGGTGATAAAGAAGTCAAATAAGTAAAATAATGTATTCCTAGAATTACGGTAGGAATGAAAAATGACGACGTAAGAAGACACTAAGCTTCCCAGTCCCTTTAGAAAATTACAGTAGAGGAATTTCACTCTTAGCAGGCTGCTGGCTACATCATGTACTGCATAAGGATGAAAGTTAAATAGCCAGATCACAGGAAACATAATTTTTTTAGTTTTCATTGCTTGTTCCCAAACAGTTATTATGTTTATTAACTGCGTATGCATGTCTATGTTTGTGCGTGTATGTATAATATCTTGTATGTGTATGTACATTTATGTTTATATTTGTAAGTATTTATATATGTATACATGTAAAAGAACACAAAAAAAAAATTACCCTGAGCTCCACAACTGCTTTATGCACTTCATCAAATGAAATAGTCTCATACATCCTCTGTTTGTCAATATCATCAAATTGAAGAGTGGATGCTGCAAGAAAAGGTGGCATCTTGGTGACAAATATATATATGTTCTGACCAGTTAAAGTTTGCAGAGAATTTTATTTATAATCATTTGAATTCTTTTTAAGAAAAAAAAAAGCAAGATTTAGTTCAACTATTTTATTTTCAACCAGAAACACTAAATTCAACCTAATATAGAGGAAACTATACATCAATTAAAAGAGGGGTTGGAGGGATGAAAAACCTTTCTCAAAGAACTTGAAGATGTCATGCCATAGCTGAGGTTCTTTTGAACCTGGAATTTCCACTTGATGAAAACTGCTTAGTTGCTTGGCAATTTCAGCAGAGAGCTTTGGCTTTCTCATGTCTGCCAGAAGTAGGGTAAAAAAGAGGCAAATATCACTAAAAAGTTTAGAAGGACACAGAAGCTTTCAAATCAATGCTAAATTTAAAATAAAACAAACCTCCACTTCTGAACCTTTACGTTCTTGCCCAAAGTAGGCATGCATTCACATTCTTTTACCAATAGAGGTTGCTAAAATATAAGTTTCTTTAAGAAAGTGAACTGCTGTGTGTTATATCTAAAAGGAAAAGCCTCCCTAAGAACAGGGCTGATGCTGTAGAAGGCTTGCATCTCAAAAATGACTAAGTAAATCCTCCTTCAAAATAATGGCATATAGAAGTCTTTGAAGAAGTGAGCTTTTTGGATGTCATATGGAAAAGGGTAAACTACACAACAATTTCAAATCAGTGTCTTTGCATTAAATGACATTGTCAAACTTCAAACATCATGCAAGTGATGTTCTGGTACATGCACCAATAAAAGAGTTTCAGGAAATCCCATTTCTAATCATGCTGCTACATCTTATCTTTCTATTGCCTACCTGAGGGAACTAAGGTACGTGCATCAATAAAAGATTGAACCATGCCATTTCCAAAGACACCAAGCAACTTGGCACCGAATCCTGCAGCTGACAGGTACTTGATAGCCTAAAAACAAGACGTGGCAAGCACCAGAAAATAACACAGAAAAGCACATTAGCAAAAGGTCATCAAATGAAGCACATAGACAACATAAGTTGATTAAAACCACACCTAATAAAACAAAGCTCAGAATGAATGGCATATAAACATCAAAGAAGCACTACTTTGGATTCTTATGTTACACTGGGCTTGAATTTCAATGCAACTGAAAAATCTAAAAATATTGATAGTAGCCACAGAAGAAACAGAGCATAGGAAAGCAATATAACCTGAAGGATAGACAAAGTAACGGTACACAAAACACATGCCATCACAAACACAAATTGAAGCAAAGAAAGGAAATCACCTAAAGTACAAAGCAGCAGCTGCACAACATAATTAATAACATGGCATGTTTATACATAACCACGTGGGGACAAGATAATGCATAGGCAATCACCTGAAGTTCACGTTCACGGTTGATGACATACTCTGTGTTGGGCCCATACAGTCTAACCGTTACAGACACCTCTTTCCCATCTTCTTCTGTCGTGGAAACCTTCAAGACTGCAGTAATTAAACACGTTCTCCCGATTAGACAGTCTATGGTAAGGCAGAGAAACAGTTGCATATGAAAATCAGAGATGATACAGCAGCGAAGAAAAAGTTATGAAAGCTTCACGACGCGTTTTCAGTATTCTAATAAAAATTTAAGATAATCAAAGTGGCAAAGAGAGAAGTAAATACTGACGTAGATTTGTGATGCCACCGGATACAGTCTCCACAGAGAAGCATGAATTATCCAAATTCGCCCACTTCTTGAACAAATCTTTGCACAGCTCTCTGTTAAAATTTCCAATTTCTCGTAAATATAAATCTAAAACCGTACATAGAATGTTATTCATGAATTTGGCAGGAAACTGAACAGAAATGGACGAAGAAAAAAAAAAGAACATGAGTAAATCAAATGTTGAATTCTGTTTCTCACAATTGAAAGAAAACAGAAGATATCGGAAATGAAAATGTATTTAAAAAGAAACCGAATCACAGCATCGAAACTGAAACAACGAAGCATTTAAGACCTAAGTTTTCAATTTTCCCTCCTCCTTGTAACATTTTCTTAGCTACTAAACAGAAACCATCAGAGGTCAAAAAACTAAAAATTATCATTAAACACTGCCGAGCTAAAACCTTCACCAAATCAACAACAATAAATTACCAAAGGAAATAAATATAAAAAACGAAATGAATTGAAAACTTCAACAAAAAAGTGCATGAACAGAAACTAACATGACGCGGGAGGTCATGAGAGGGAAAGAGAGGGAGGTTTCGACGGAAAGATAAGAAGAGCGAATATCATCGAAGCTGCACTTGCCCTGACCTTCCTCCTTGGCCACCCCTACTTCGTCGCCGATCTCCTTCACAGCTCCCATTACTTTTGGATTTCGATACAAAACCAAAAACGGACAGTGGTCCTGTTTTTATAGTCCTTCAAACATATTTTTTTTCTCTGTGCATCTCACTGCTTCAAACAATTTTTTTTTTTTTTAAATAAATGGACCGGACTTTTCTATTTCTTTTTGCTTTTTTTAATTTAATTCATTCCCCAAAAAAAAATTATTTTTTATTAGAAATAAAATCTTTGCTTATTACTTGTTAATATGGTTCAACATAAATCCTCTGAAGAAAGATGTAGTTTGACGTAAGTATTTTTTTTTAAAATAGAAACATTCAACATAATAAGTTAGATAGGCCAATTCTATATAAAGAAAACAAAAATAATTTAAAAAAATAAAAACAACAAAACCATAATTAAAAAATAACCAAATAAAGTTATTACAATTGGTCAAATATTGAAGTAACTTTTTTTTCTTTAAAAATTATTTAACATTCATGTATACATAAAATGCTTTAGATATCACGTTATCAATTTTAAAATAATGAAAAAAAAATGTAATTTATGTAATAAAATAAATAATTAACTAAATTTTTAACTTATATTATGCACATAACATAGTTTTTTAATTCAATATAAATATAAAGAATCGTCATACCTTATATTTTGTTAAAGTATTTTTATGATAAATGCACATGCAAAATAAATAAATAATCGATAGTTTATATATTATATAATTTTGTTAAAGTTTGTAATTGAGTTGTAATATTCGAGTTTAAAATTTGGCTCATAATTAATTTTTAAAAAATAAATATATATATATATATAATTTTTAAATTTATAAATTTTATTTAATATAAAATTATGAAAAAATATAGGTTAATGATAAAATTAAAAACAATTTTGAAAAAAATAGGTGCAAATTTGGGTTCAAATAGTATTTTTAAAAAAATAATCAGAAATTAGTGGTCAAAATGTAATTACAAAAATTGCGCCATAGGACCGCCCAGTTAGCAACCCCGACGAACAGGAGCACACCGTGTGGTAAGGAACCTGACTCAGTGCCACGCGGGAGGCCACGCTGGCAATCCGCATGCCCGCGATTGGACAGCCCGGATTCGTTCCCTCCTCAAGCACGATCAAATGGTCGCAATTAAACGCGATGCACAGTTCAGATTCATTCTTTCTTTAAACGCGATCGGATGATTGAGATAAAACGCAATGAACGATCCAGATTTAAGGGAGACGGGTATAAATATCTTACTTCACACC